CAAATAGACTTAGAGCATCTCCAACCCTTGCACCAGTTTTTCACACTAAAATGGTGCAAAATAACTCCAACCCATTACACTATTTTTTATACCAAAAAAGAATATTCCTTTTATATTCTTCTATCTCTTCTATATTATATTATTTTCTTTATAAAACAAATCCTTTCTTTTTTCTTTTTTACATATTTATCCCATATAATTCATATTTCTTTCTTATATAACCATTTAATATAAAATTATTTTATACCTTTAATTTTTAAATAATATAAGTTATAAGCAAATATTATACATTATACATATAAATGTATAATTCAAACAAAAATGAAATCATTGATAAGATATAATTAAATAAATATTTCATTATGGTAAAATTTAGTTAATTTTTACATAATATTCAACTTACATGATTAGTATGTTGCTCCCATAAATGCTCTATTAATACATTACGAAGTGCAAAATGAGCATCTTTGTCCCTTAATTGGTGGATGTGGAAGCCGCCTTCCAGAGTACTAGATTATTGTTGTAATATTCTCATCCCATTATGTTATTTAATGTATTTTCAATTTAATCTATGTCAGTCGCTATTGTATTAAATATTTATTTTTATAATAATCAATGAACATTGTGCTATTTATTAACAACATATTATATTTTCGTTTGCACTTTTCATTTTTTTGATGGTTATATATTTTTATACAATTATAACTTATAATAAAATTAACTTACAATTTTATAAAAACATAAAATATATGAAAATGTTCGGATATTGATTGGTCTTGGTTTGACATGGTTTACGCGTTACTGGTTCCCGGAAGAGTTAATATCTCCATTAGCTAAACCTCCGCGAAAGACTATTCAGTGACTTGTCGAGCTGATCCGACACCAAGTGGGCCGTAATTTATAAAAATTATACACCAAAATTAAAATATAAAATTAATATTATAAAGATATTACATAAAAACTATAATAGTAAAAAATTATAATACGTTAAATTAAAAGTGTTATATAATGAAAGATAATATTAAAATAATGGTGAATAGTAATGGTGTTGATGAATAGTGTTACACCAAATTTGGTGTAACACTATTTACACACCAAAATGGTGTTGTATTGGAGCAAAAAAAATACCAAATTTTACACTAAAATGGTATTTAGTGTCAAAATTGGTATTGGGTTGGAGTAGGGGTGTGCATTCGAATCGGTTTATCGATAAATCGAATCGATTATTTGTTATCGGTTTATCGATTTATCGATTTCGATTTCGATTCGAAATTTTCCTTATCGAGTTATCGATTTCGATTTCGATTTTGTCCTCTTCGGTTATCGGTTTATCGATAAACCAATAAGATATACTAAAAAGACAAAAAAAAATTAATTTTTTTTTACCCTTATTCTATAATACCCTTTCGTTTACCCTAAGTCCATAACCCTATTATTCCTCTACCACATTTAAGGAATGATCATATTTAAAGCCCAAGGGAATGAAGTTCAAATTAATGGAAAACAAAATTAGCCACGATGATGTATTTTTTTTATGCCGTTGGAGTGTTGGTGGCATACATTTGATCCCTTACTTTAGTTTCGTTGCATGTGCTTGTTGACACAATTTTTATGTTATAAACGGTGTTCGTCTTATTTTAGCTTCTTTTTGTCCATATTAGTTAGACGTGTTTATGGCGATATACTTTTCGTGGAACCCCGCAAATCTTTTTATTGGTGTAATCGATAACCGAATCGATAAGCCCCAAAATTCGGTAAATCAAAATCGAAACCTTATTGAAACGATAACGATAAGCATATGTACAAATCGATAATCGATAAGTAATTATCGATAATGGTCAAAATCGAATCGATAAATCGAATGCACACCCCTAGGTTGGAGATGGTTGCAAATTGTTGAAAATATATCTCATCATTATCATTAACAGCTTGTTTGGATGGTTGTTAACTATTGTATCGTATCGTATTGTTACTTTAAATACAATATTTGTTTTGATTGTTACTTAAATTTTATCGTATCGTATCGTATCGTTAAATCCGTCGTTACGTAATGATGAAATGTGCCACTTTATGTAACGACAGATTTGGTGTGGTCCCGTCGTTTCCTTGTGTTTTTCTCTCAATCTCATTCTTCATTATTATTAAATAATTTTAGTTTATCATTTACCCTACCTTTTTATATATCGTATCATAATTTTTCTTTATAATATTGCAAATTTATTCATCATATCACAGATGCGTGATACCATGAAACGACGCCAAAACGATAGAATCCATCCAAACATTGTATTCATCAAACGATACAGTACAATACGATACGATACATTATGAAACAATACGTAATGATCATCCAAACAAGCAGTAAACAATAATGTTAGCTCTTTTAATTTATTAAGTGTTTGCCATGTGAAACGTACTCGGTTAGGTATATAGAGCTGTTTATACAGACAAAACAGGTAAATTCTTTTTGAGACAAACAAATCTTAAAATACATAAGTTGATGGTACTAATCCACCTTTCTAGGTTGAATTTGTTCTACGTGCAGAAGTAGTAATTTGCAATACTTGCAGGTATGTATTTCTTGAGAATATCATGCGACGAATAGCTAATCGACGTCAGCTTAATTGTGGCAGTGCCACATACGTAAAAGATACATAAAACATGAAAATTTACCAGAGACAGATTCAAAATTTAAAGATAATAAATATTTTAGCACTAGCCATGCATGAAATTGGATAAGAGTATGTATTCGATTCCATTCGATTTTGTTGGATCTATTATATATTCTATTCGATTCGATTTTATCGAGCGAGGGATCTATTAAAAATAGGTTCTTTATCTATATAAAATAAAAATAAGGTCTCCATACACACTTGTGAAATTATATCGAATTATTGTTATTGTATTATGGGTTACTTTTCTTTTAACGACGAGACTAGCAAAAATTTCAGTCGTAGAGTGTATATATACATTTGTATAGAGAGAAAGAGGGGGGGACAAGGAGTTAGAAGACTGCATATGATTTTTGTCAGGATTGAATTAAAAAGAGGTAGAGTGCAGTTCATATTTCCACTTGCTTTCACTTTCCATTTTCTTTTTTCTTTTTAAATTTCTTTTATTATTTCTGGAACTGTCTGATGTCTATATATGCAGACAAGTTGACTGCTCCATGGAACCTTCCAAGCCGCCTACTTTGACCCTAACAACCACGTGGATTTCTTTTGTCTATTTTTTATTTTATATTCCTATATTTTTCTTCTCTTTTTCATTTAATTTGTAAAAACTTTAGCAAATGCTTAACTTTTCTGCTTTTCAGAATTAGCAACTCCAAGATCGAATGCGTGGAACGATTATTTTAATATTCATCGATTCAATCAACATCCCTATTCTAATGTCAAGATTCCTTCTTCTTTCTCACTTTGTTTATACTTTTTAGAGAAAATGCATAAAAGCCTTATTCAATTTGTCCCGGAAAATTATTTATATATCTAAATTTTACGGGAGTCCTATTACTACCTTATCCTTATCCAAGATGAATTTATTTAACCGCTAAAATGCCACAACCAAATTATACACAAATAGTGTTTCCACACGCTGACACGTGGCATTTTCGCAGGTTTTTTCATTTTTTTTCTTTCTTTGACTGGAATAATCGTCCCCCTCCACCAATCGAACCTTTCTTTCTCTCCTTAAAAATATTCCAAACATTTTTATCATCTTTTCCAGCTTGCCTAAGAAATTTCAATCACATTTTGTCGGATCTCCATGGGCAACCAAATTACAACTAAAGAAGTAACTTTTTCAGAAAAAGTTTTTCTGATGGAACCTTTGCAAGAGAAACTAGCTGACTATATTGACAAGAAAATGGTCTCTCTTTTTGGGTTTTTCTCGTCAATTTTCTTCTTCCATCTTGGTCAAAAGATAAATATATAAAGTAAAGTTAATGTATAGAGCACAATCGCAAAGCAAGAGGAAGCTAAGAAAGATCCAATAAAGTGTTGGGTTTTCGTTTTCACCTTGGTTGTTTGCTCCGGCCAAGCTGTGAAGAACAATTGGAGGGTGGAGGAGATGATAAAATAGGTGTAGAAAGAGCTATCAATCTTTAATTTTTGTTCTGTTACGATTATGGTTGTATGGTGCTGCTCTCTTGTGACAATGGAGGAAAGAGAAAGAAGAAAAGGAAAGAGGAAGGAGAAGAAAAGAAAACAGGAAAATAAAAATAAAAAGGGTTAGTATTACACCAAATACAACTAATTAATTGTAATTAAATGTAACAACCAATGAAAAATTAACATCTGTAAAATTTAAGTAGCTTTTTACATTTTTTCAGCCTTCTACGCGCTTTGAGTAAGGTAAAATTAGTTTCTGCCACCTCACC